ATCTCTACAATAAATCAAAAAATTAGCCAGGCGTGGTAGCGCGCGCCTGTAGTTCCAGCTACTTGGAAGGCTGAGGTGGAAGGCTCGTCGGAGCCCAGCTGGTCGAGGCTACGGTGGCCAGGAGTGGCCACTGCACTCCAGTCTGGGCGACAGAGTGAGACTCCAACTCAAAAAATAAAATAAAATAAAAAATTTAAAAGTTAAAAAAAGATCTATTATAGATTATTTTAATTAATTGGAAAATATTCCATAGGCTTAGATGGGATACTTAATATTACTAAGATATTAATTTTTTCAGATTAATCAATAGTTTCAGTGCCATGGTAATCAAATTTTAATTGTACTTTTTGAAGTACTTAATAAACTTACTTTAAAATTGATTGGGAAAATCAATAAAAGTCTATGGAAAGCTGAATTTAAAAAAATTTTTTTTTGAGTTGGAATCTCACTCTGTTGCCCCAGACAAGCAGCCCACATAGTAGAGAGGAGATACCTGTATATTAATTATGCTCTAACTGAACTAAAATGCAGGACTTCTATTCAGCACATTAGCTTGGTAGACCTCTGGGTTTGAAAGTGATTTGTTGGGGCACACTTCATCAATAAAGGTACCTGATTTCAAACCAGGTGAAGTGGGAACCAAAGTGGGGCCCAAACTTTACCTGTACAATGACCATTTGTATACCTAACCCTGAATTGTACATCACATCTTTAAAATAAAAATAAAGTGATTTATTTATACCTGTCAGCCAGTGAAAAATTATAATTTAAAAAGGTGCCGGGGGCCCAGCATAGTGGTTCACGCCTATAATCCCAGCACTTTGGAAGGCTGAGGCAGGAAGACTCCTTGAGCCCTGGAGTTCAAGACCAGTCTGGGCAACACAAAGAGACTTTGCTTCTATTAAAAATAAAAAATAACTTAAAAATTAGAAAAATATTTCTCTATGGGTGATATACCACAACATCCTTGGTAACTGGGTAGAGTGGACACACATTATAAGCCAGTAACATCTGGGCTGGTTGCCAAATGCTTAGAATCCCCCAGCCGAGAGGGATGTCAAGAGACCAATACCTGGCAATACCTAGTTCCTGACAGATACCACCAAATCTATAATGAAGGGTGTGAGCCTTGGAGTCAAGATGGCCCTGAGTTCAAACCGCAGTTTGGCTAGGTGGGATCTCGGGCAAGATCTTAAGCTCTTCAGCTTTAGTTTCTTCATCTGCACAATGGGAATAACAATATATTATTATTACTTTCATTCATATTCATTGCAATTGTGAATATAAAATGTCTAATAGAGTGGCTGGAATACAGTAAATGCTCAGTAATGTTCATGATTTTTGTTAGTTGTGGTGTCTCAAACCTGTAATTCCAGCACTTTGGGGGTAAGGGCTGAGACGATTGCCTGAGCCCAGGGGTTTGAGACCATCCTGGGCAACTTGGCGAGACTCGTCTCTACAATAAGTAAATTAAAACAACAACAACACTAGCAGGGCATGGTGGTATGCGCCTGTAGTTCCAAGCAAGAGATCACTTGGAAGGATCATCTGAGCCCAGCAGGTCGAGCTGTGGTAGCTGTGAGTGCACCACTGCACTCCAGACTGGGCGACAGAGTGAGACTTTGACTCAAAAAAATGCGAATAAAAAATAAAATAATGTTTACGATTTTTATTGTTATAATTATGAATAAAGGTCTCAGGAAATGAAGCCTCCCTTAGCTGTATAACCAATACCAATCCCAGCAAGATAGAAAGAAACATGATCATCTCTGCTTAAACGGTCAGATTGACTCACAGTGATTTCCCCAGGCTCACAGCTGACTCCACTAATGAAAAGTCAGCTGCAGTTTTTTTTCATTCATTCACGCTTTGAAGTGCTATATTTCATGTAGCATTTCCCTAGCTTTTGTCCTTGAGAATGTCACTGGGTTTTTTTGTTTGTTTGTTTGTTTGTTTGTTTGTTTTTAGTAGAGACAGCGTTTTGCTGTGTTGTCCAGGCTGGTCTTGAACTCCTGGGCTCAAGAGATCCTCCTGCCTCAGCCTCCCAAGTAGCTGGGACTACAGGCATACATCACCATACCAAGCTGAGAATGCTTTGTCAAAGCAATGTAGAATGGTATATACTTAAGTGTTAGGGAGGAAAGTTCGTAGAAATCACATAGACCACCTTTTTCCAGTTTAGGAAATCTTTTTACAAGCATCTCTCCACCCCTACCACTGGCAAATAGCGAACCAGCTTCTGCTCAAATAACTCCAGCCACAGGAGCTCACAACATTTCAGGACAACTCTCGTGAGTTGTAACTCTTTCTTTTTAACATCATCAGTGCCAGCATCTAAGGTATGCACTCAGTGGACAAGACACTAAGTCCCATTAGAGCTGAGCCCAAGTTGCTGGTTCACTGCTGTATGCCCAGGACCTAGCTCAGTGACTTGTTACCTAACAGACAAGCAAGAGATATTTGTGGGATGGACGGATGGATGGATGGACGGATGGATGGATGGACGGATGGATGGGTGATGTGTCTTCTATGGGTGCTATAGAATAAGTTAAGCAGATTTTTTTTCCCCATCACACTATGGCTTAGAGTTCAAGACACGCAGTAATTAACTTACATTCACATTAAAGATTTGGGGAGATTTCATGTGAAATGATTGAAGAACTGCGAGTATCCTAAGATCTACAAACTATCCCGGGCTTGAGTGTCAGCAGTAAAACTCTTTAAAGTGAATTAGTCACGAATTATAGGGGTATGGGTAGTTGTCAGGTGAAAAAGTCCAATAATTTTCAAATATTACCACAAAGAGGGACCCGAGAGATCATTACTGAGATTGTATTCGTTTCCAAGTATCTTCATCTTTTCTCAAATCTTTAATAACTTATAACTTACCATCTATTTTGAACTTAATACAAGGCCTAAGACCTTAATAGGAATGTATGTAATTCTGAATAGGTCACAAGGACAGGCTTTTGACAGAACCTGCTCACACGTCCCCAAAATGTGCATTTATTCATCAACGTCATGGTCTCTTTCTCAAATCAGTCATTGGACTTACTAACTGGTGCATCTGAGAAGATTATTAATAGTGCTCACATTACATATAAACAAATGAGTAAATTCCCTTTTATTAATAACAAATAAGGCAAGTCACCTTGCTCCAAACTGTGCCACGTCTTGCATTTTCTTTCTCTTTTGCAGAATTTCTTTTCATTTGCTTCATGAAAGTTTCAAGTCAGGCCCAATGACTGATTTATTGTTTCCTTCGCAGGAGGAGGGGGAAGCATTAGGTACCTGGTACCCAGCAAAAGCCTGATAAGCAGAGTTATCAGTGGAATTCCTCAATGTGACAAAGGGCTGGATGAGGGGTTCCTTGCTGGTACAACCAGGTCACAAGCCTAAGAAGGCTTGACGGGTGTGGCTGGCTCCCTCCCCAGGGCCCTGCTCTGTTCCCGATCTGGGCTTTGCTGCCCTGGGCTGGGCTGCTTCGCCTGGCTCCCTCCAGGACCTCCAGGCTCCAGGAATTTGGACCGAGTGGTAGAGACATCGCCGGCAGAGACGGCGATCGCCAGCTTCCTCTCTGTGCTGTCTTGTGATTCAAAGCAGATTCTGCTCCACTTTTTTAAAAGGGGAGCACATTCGTGCTGGAGACCCACAAGAACAGAATCCAGCCAGGAGACGTGCCACCGTCAAACCACAGTCCGTGAGGAAGCAGCTCATCCGAGGTGAGCCATGGTTGGGATTTGGTCATGGGGAGCCTAGGGGCATCAAAGTCTGATGGTGCAAGGTCACAGGAGCTGCAAGAGCACTGGGACTTGAGGCTTTCACAAATGACCCTAGGCTGGGGCCTGCTACCTCAAACACAAACACACACACACACACACACACACACACACACGCACACACGCACACACGCACCCAAACACCCACGTTCCAAGCTCATGCAAGCGCAGCATGTGTGCTTGGCTGCTGGGGGATGGATTGGCAAAAGGGGATGCTTTTCCATCTTGGGCCTTTATCTAAAAGAAGCATCCTCGAGTCCACCGGCCTCACTTGCAAACTTCTGTAGGAAGTGACTTTGGACTGGATGTCTCTTACAGCATTCTTGGCTGTTACCACAGTTAGACAACTTAGCAAAAACTGCTGCTGGCTGTGTGTGTGGTGTGGCCATTGAAAACATTTGTTGTGTGACCTTTCTCTTCCTGCACGATTTTCTAGGATGATCTTCTTGCTCTCTTTTCCTTGAACAGGTACCTTCCTGTGGTAGGCGCTCTCTTTGTGAAAGTGCTCTTTTTTATGAGATTAATTTGCCTTGCAAGAATTCTGCTCTTCTAGGTACGACTTGCTCACATATCAGTATCTGAAAGCACATAGGTATTCTCAGTGTTGTATATACCACGCATGGAAGACCCAGGTTGGAGTCTCAGCCCTGTTTCCTTCCCCACATGAATGAGCCACTGAGCCTTAATATTCATCTCTATAGTTGAGCTACAGTAACAGCTACCCATGAGATTGTTGGATGATCAACTGAGAATGTGCCAAGTCCTTTTTCACATGTTTTAGCACAATGGATGATTATTTCTCATTATTACTCCTGATAGGCAGGACACAGCTATAGGCTGGCTAAATGCCAAGAAAAATGAGGAGGATGACTTTTTGCATTTCTTTTCCCGTCATAATGCTTTGCTTCTGATCTCACCAGGGTTTGCCAAAGTCACGCATCTAGTAAGTGACAGAAGCAGGTCTTCCGGGCCACAGTTTGCCTTTCAAAGGATCACGGTGAGTGTTTCTAGTGCTGCCATCACAGGATTCATAACACATCTGGGGCGGGTGGATCTGGGGGCAGGTGACCAGACAGCTCTCCGGCCCCCTCAGCCATTCCTGGCCCCCCGAACACAGAGCCGGGTGTCCCCGTCCTCTGTGACACGTGACTCTCTCTCGCCACCAGCACCTGCCTCACCTGCATCTCTTTCCTTCTGAATGGCAGGACCCTCCCAGCCTCCATGCCGCCTCTCCTGGTCACCCTGTTCCTCCTTCATTCCTGCTTCCTCCGAGGAAATGGCCACCTCCGGGAAGGCCTGACGTTGCTCAAGACAGAGTTTGCACTTCGCCTCTACCAGAGTGTGGCAGCGGGTAGAAACGGGACAAACTTTGTCATCTCTCCTGCTGGTGTGTCCCTCCCGCTAGAGATCCTGCAGTTTGGGGCAGAAGGAAGCACGGGCCGGCAGCTGGCAGATGCTCTGGGGTACACTGTCCATGGTAAGAGGCCTGCACACATGCTTCTGCTCACATTCGGCTCATGCTCTCATTCTCTTACTCAGGCTACCTGGAGGCGGTAGCTGAGCTTTCAGTGGTGCACACAGAAGGAAGGTGACCATTCAGCAGGACTGCAACAGAAGGCATTTAGCTTTTGGGATGATGCTTACCCTTGATTTTTTTTTTTTAAGAGATAGGATCTCGCTATGTTGCCCAGACTAGTCTTGAACTGCTGGGCTCAAGTAATCCTTTTGCCTCATCCTCCCAAAGTGCTGGAATTACAGGCCTGAGCCACTGCATGTAGACTTTTTTTTTCTTTTTTTTTGAGACAGGGTTTTACTCTGTCACCCAGGCTGGAGTGCATCGGCACAATCACAGCTCACCATAGCCTCAACTCCTGGGACTATAGGCGCAGGCCACCATAACTGGCTAATTTTTCCTTTTTTTTTTTTTGTAGAGATAGGGTCTTGCTTTGCTGCCTAGACTGGTTTCGAAACTCTTGAGCTCAAAGGATCCTTCCACTTTGTCCTCCGAAAGTACTAGGATTACAGGCGTGAGCCACCATGCCCGGCCTTACCCTTGATTTCTAAGGTCCCCTTCTAACCTCACAGGTCCTATGGCAATGTCTCCATTTCATTTCACACACCCTTTTCTATGGTGCTTTCTGGATGCCAGGCAGCACTGGAAGCCCTTTCCAAGTATCAGTTGAACTGACTGTCACAACAGCTCTGCAGAGGCTGGTAATTGCTTATCATCCCTAAGTTAGAGATAAGCAAACAGACACGGAGAGCTGAAGCAACTTGCTCAAAGTGACACAGTAAGTGGTAGAGCTGGGACTCGAGCCCAGGTCGTCTGGCTCCAGAGCCCATGCTCTTGACCAACCTGCCTTTATAAATCTGTGACTTCCAGCCAGTGCCAGACCTGCCAGCTTAATTCTATGGATTACGTATTTTAGAATAGCCCGGCCGGTAGCACCGAGAGTTTCTCAAAGCTGGGTCAGCGTCCTCTGGCCTAGCGGGGTCTCAGCTCAGTGCCTGGCCTCAGGACCAACCTCCCATCTCCAGCTATGACAGATACTCCTGCATAAAATTTTTTCCTTCTCAGACAAGGATCCAGGAATCCTGCAAAGACAGCAGAATAGGGGCCCCTCAGTTCATTCCAAGATGCACAAAGCTATCCTGGGCCAGGGCATGGGGTAGGGGGGGAGGGTGCTTCCCTCCCACAACTCATTCTTCACCCTGTGGGCACGCAGGGCAGTGAAACAGCATTCCCTGCCACTGAGCGACACTGAGCACGTTAAGTAATTCATCTGAGCCTCTGCTCCCTCTTATATCAAATGGGGATAACAATAGCACGTAAATTAACAGGGTTGTGGGAAGGATTCGGAGTGATCAGGAATGCACAGCCTTCAAGACAATGTCTGAACACAGTCAACCCCAGTGGTTTTTCCTCTGGCAGTGCACATTCTAGCAGGTCCAGGAAAGCTATTCGTGTGTGCACATGGGCACAGACAGACTACGGTCAGGCGGAGAAAAGACTTCACACAGAAATTTACTTCAAGCCAATCTGCTCTTTTTTTTTTTTTGGTCAGTGTCTCTGTTGCCCAGGTTGGAGTGCAGTGGCATGATTACAGCTCACCACAGCCTCGACCTCCTGGGCTCAGGCCATCATTCCACCTCAGCCTCTTGAGTAGCTGGGACTACAGGTGCATGCCACCATGCCCAGCTAAACTTTTGTTTCTCTGTAGAGACGAGTTCTCGCTATGTTGTCCAGACTGCTCTTGAACTCTGGGGCTCAAGCAATCCTCCCACCTCAGCCTCCCAAATCTGGGATTCCAGGCGTGAACCTGCCCATCCTCCTCTGCTATTTTAACATTTCTGGCTAAAAGAACGCTTGTCCCCTGGCCCAGAGAGAGTGGAAAGATGGACGAGAGAGCGCTGTGACCATTCTTAAGGTCACATTACATATGGAGCAGTGAAGAGTTTCAAGTCTCCCCTGCAGACAGTCAACACTCGACAGGAATGTACTCCTAGAAATACACATGACCTTCCTCAATAGAGTAAAATCTGATTATGCTTTTCATTCATTTTTTTGTCACAATGATAAAATACAAGCACTTAAGTTAGGCTGATTCAGGAGATCCATGTTCTGAGTCAGTCTTTTCCCGTTGTGAATTCTAAGGAGCAGCTGTGGCAGTGGGCATTTTGTGGCCAAGTGACATCTGCCTGTTGCTGTGTTCTGCAGCCACTGCCGGGGTAGATTCTGAGTTCCCCCAGAAGACATTAGCTGGGCAACTCGGGGGTCTGCTGCTGCCTCCTGGCTTGGCCTTTGCAACATAAAAGGTGCCAGAATGGACAGACCCCCAAGCCGAGTGAGAGATTGGAAGCGGTCCCCAGCACTGCACCTTACAAGGATGGTTGGTTCACAGCGACAGGGCTGTGCCCGGGAGGGAGCAGAGGCAGCCTGCATACAAGGGGCTTCACTTCTGGAAGCACCCAGCTTGCATGTGTCAGGAGTGGGAGGCTTGGTTTACTTGGCTGTCTCCGAGCCCAGCAGTGGGCAGGAGGCCTTGTCACCGCTACGGGATGCCTGTGGCGCACAGAAGCTAAAACTTGCGGCAAATAGCGTGAAAACAAAACCCACTGTTGATTATGGAGAGAGGAAAGCAATCTCCTGTATGAACAGTAAATAAATAGAAGTCCAGCTGCCATCTAAGAAGGTGGAAGCTATCAAGGCTCTCAAATGCATATTATTTCCTCAACATTCTTGCAGCTTCTTGCTGACATGAATGGCACAAGCTGTCTGCTAGGTCTTAGGAAGATCAGGGATAGAAGGGGTTCTTACCTTTCCTCTGTAGTTCTCAAATTGAAAGCATTGTTCTAAAAGAGGCTGCATCCAAATATGACTGAGGCTTATGACATGCAGCCTTGGGGATGGACTTAAGGCCCCATAAAAGATATACAAGTATTGATGGCACAACATCCTGGCCACTTCCCATCATTGTCATTTGTATTGTCACACATCAGTCTCTTCACTTCATAAGCACATTTTTTTTTAGTTGTGGGTTTCACTCTGTCACTCAGGCTGGAGCACAATGGGATGATCATGACAGTCTCAACCTCATGGGCTCAGGCAATCTTTCCACCTCAGTCTCCTGAATAGCTGGAACCAGAGGTACATGCCATCATGCCTGGTTATTTTTATTTTTTATTTTTTGTAGAGATGAGGTCTCACTATGTTGCTCAGGCTGGTCTCAGGCTCCAGGGCTCTAGCAATCCTCCCGTCTTGGTCTTCCACAGTGCTGGGATTACAGGTGTAAATCACTGCGCCTGGCCAACTTCATAAGTATTTGAAACCCCATCACCTGGCACATGGGGCCTGCTATTATCCCAGCCCCAGAATCTTACTCCAGCACACACCAACATTCCTGAATTGGGAAGTTAAGGAAGAATGGCCTCTCTTCATCTGTAGGGTATTAGTAGTGGTAGGGTTTTTCTATTTGACTTCATTGCAGCCTGATATTTTTTTCAGATCTAGCATGGTTTCTTCCCTACTTTAATCAGTGGATCCAGGCTGACTCCTGGGCAGGTAGCTATGGCTTTTCCAACTTGACTAGATATGGTAGATAAACCTAGTGCCACATGAGTGGAGTTGTGGGGTCCCATTTTGATGCAATGTGCTAACTCCTTACACTCACCACTGTCAACTCATCCCAACTCCCTGTTCACAGACCAAAGGGTGAAAGATGTCCTGCACGCCGTTTATGCCGCACTACCCAACTCCAGCCAAGGTGCCGACGTGGAGCTGGCCTGCAGCCTTTTTGTGCAGGCAGGGACGCCCTTGTCCCCATGCTTTGTGGAGCAGGTCTCCTGGTGGGCCAACAGCAGCCTGGAGCCAGCCGATCTCACCGAGCCCAATGGCACCACCATCCAGGCCAGCGAAGGGACCTCCAGACAGACCACAGGTAAAATAAGACCGTCCACCTCAACAAGGCTAAGGACAGAGGGCTGTGAAGACAGCATCACCCATCATTTGGCAGAAGTGGGGGTGCTCAGGCAGCCCTCAATGACCTTACCCTGAGTGACATGCTCTGTGAAGCAGCCAAAGCTGACTTTTGCTCACCTTCTGCCTCTCCTCCCACTCTGACCCTCCCACATCCAAATATACACGTGTACATGTGTAGACACATACACCATGCACAGACACACAGAAGTGTGTTTTTCTGAGCCTCCCAGCTCTGGGCAGACCCTGCAGGCTTTGACCCATGCAACTGTCCCCCTAGGTGAGTTCCCATCCCCCCAGGTGTGTTTCCATCCCTCAAGGTGAGTTCCCATCCCTCCAGGTGTGTTCCCACCCTCCCAGGTGAGTTCCCACTAATTAACCACCCCCCACCCAACAGCAAAATGCAGCAGAAGCCAAAAAAAGGTGGTGTCTTGTAAATTTAGCTTAAGGAAATAATTCAAGAGGAAAAAAAATTATGTGCAATAAGATGTTTGGCCCAATGTTACAGAAGAAAAAGACTTATAACAGCCTAATTGGACTGGGTGCGGTGGCTCATGCCTGTAATCCCAGCACTTTGGGAGGCAGAGGCGAGAGGATTGCCTGAGCCCAGAGGTTTGAGACCAACTTGGGCAACTTGGTGAGACCTCGTTTCTACAATAAATTAAAAAATGAGCCAGGTGTGGTGGCACGCACCTGTAGTTCCAGCTACTTGGAAGGCTGAGGAGGAAGGATCGCCTGAGCCAAACAGGTCGAGGCTGCAGTGGCCGTGAGTGTGCCACTGCACTCCAGCCTGGGTGACAGAGTGAGACTCCAAAAACAGCCTAACTGGTTAGCAACTAGGGGTGACTTGGCGAAGCCCAGCCCTTCTTGTTATGCAGTTGTAATTATTCTTAAAGATGATGACAATCATGAACATTTCCCAAGTGTTCAATGAGTTACGTAGCACTGCTCCAAGGTTATTATCTTGGTCTCCCTCACAGGAATCTTAGAAAGTCGATGCTTTTACAGTCTCCATTTTACAAAGGGGGCAACTGAGGCATAGAGGGTTGAACCTCCTGCCCAGGGCCCACATGGCTAGGATTCTAACCCTGGTGTCTGGCTCAGCATCCCTGATCATTACAAAAGTTACACAGGAATGTGGAGAACGTTCAAGTTCCCATGAGGTTTAAAAAGCAGAATAGAAAGTGGTATGTGTGCTATGATTGAACTGAAACTGTATGGACAAGCCTCTCTACTTCCCCACATTTGACCATGTCTTTTCCATCTACTTGCACATGTTTAATTCCCTGTCTCGGCTCCTTGTGCCACCAAGGGGCCCAAGACCACAAGAGATGCTCCCAGCTCCCAGGCCGATCATCCTGGAAGAAAGAGGAGTAGTTGATGCAGCTGTTCGGAGCACAGTCTGAAGCAGTCTGCTGGGTTCAAATCCAGGGTTTCCATCTTGGGCAACTGATGGTGGCTTTGCCTCTCACAAGTATGTGACCTTGGCCAACTTCTCTGAGTCTCAGTTCTCTCATCTGTGAAACGGGGAATAACAATAGAACTGTCAGGAGGAGTTGGTGAGGATTTGTTAAAGCACTTAGGACAGAGCCTAGAACAAAGTTTGTGTTTACTAAGGGCTGGGAAAGAAACAGCCCCTTCAGGAGTGTTTCAAGAGTGGTCTGCCTGTTCCTCTTTCTGGTACTGCATGAAACTTTTTTTAATTTAAAAAAAATGTTTTGAGTTGGGGGTCTCACTCTGTCACTCAGGCTGGCCTGCAAGTGGCAAGATCACAGCTCACCGCAGCTTCCATCTCCTGGGCTCAGGTGATCCTTCCGCCTCAGGCTCCTAAGTAGCTGGGACTACAGGCATGTGCCACCACACCCAGCTAATTTTTTCATTTTTTTATTTTTTGTAGAGATGAGGTCTAGCTATGTTGCCCAGGCTAGTCGCAAACTCTTGGGTTCAAGCAATCCTCCCACTTTGGCCTCCCAAAATGCTGGGATACCGGTAAGAGCCACTATCCCCAGCCTCAGCATCAAACTTTAACTGAAGCCTTCCAAAGACCATGTCCTGAACATTGTTGTCTTAGTAAAGGCTCAGTAAGAGACACACCTCAGCAGTGGGGCAATGTGGGACTAGGGTGACATTATGCAGCATCTTATCATAGCACCTAATTAATCCTTTCTGGGGTCTACCTGGGGAGGAATGCCTAATGCTTCCTGGGAAACGGCCCAACCCCATGTAGAACCAGGGGAGCATCCCAACTTGCCAAGAAAAGTAAAAAAAAAAAAAAGCATGGTCTTCAGGAACAGCTGGTTATAAACACACTAACTGACAGGTTTTAATAAGTAGGCTACAAACCCACCTTCAAATGCCTCACCATTCCCCCAGAGTGGGTGTCAGGGATCCAGTCTGCCTTCTGAGTTCTCAGTTTTCATTCCTCCTGCACCCCCACCCCCAGCAGGGAGTTGAGAGCAGCTTCAATGGCTTTGGGCCCCTGGCAACAAACATTTTTAAGTAAATTGGAAAAACAGATCCCAGGAGTTCAAGATCGCAGTGAGTTATGGTTGTGCCACTGCACTCCAGCCTGGACAATAGAGTGAGACCTTGTCTCTTAAAAAACAAAAAAGACATTATAAAACAGAGAAAGAGATCGTATTAAAAAAAAAAGAAGATCTTAATTCCCGGCCAGGCGGGAGAATTAAGACCTCACAAAAAACTTCTTAAATGGCCAGGTATGGTGGTGCATGCCTGTAGTCCCAGCCACTCAGGAGACTGAGGCGGAAGGATGGCCTGAGCCCAAGAGGTAGAGGCTGCAGTGAGCTGTGATTGTGCCATGGCACTTCAACCTGGACAACAAAGTGAGACCCCACCTCAAAAACAAAATCAAAAATAAGTAATTCTTGCATTTAACGCTCCTTCTTGTTCACACAGACTAAGTGCTGCAATCAGTGTTCATTTAACTCCTCCCACCCCCTGCAGGTGAGGCCCCGCCATGGGAACAGGTCAGTGCTGCATTCGCTCAACTGGTGCTGGTGAGCACCATGTCCTTCCAAGGCACTTGGCGAAAGCGGTTCTCCTCCACTGACACGCAGCTCCTGCCTTTCACCTGTGCCCACGGCCTCATCCTCCAGGTCCCCATGATGCATCAAATGGCCGAGGTCAACTACGGTGAGCCCTGTTCCTGCTGGGCCTTCTAAAGTGAGAGGAAGCCCCATGAGGGCAAGGAGAGGAGCCCAGGTCTCTGCTCATAGAGGATGGGGATGTATTTCCATGGGGCCCATCTGCTGGACCCTGTGTGTGGTGAAAGGAAGGACCAGGGTGTTGGAAACTTTATTATTATTATTATTATTTTTTTTAACAGAGATGAGGTCTCACTATGTTACCCAGGCTGGTCTTGAACTCCTGGGCTAAAGCAATCCTCTTGCCTCAGCCTCCCAGAGTGCTGGGATTATATGCATGAGCCTCCACATCCATGGGGAGACTTTAGACAGGTACTTTGAACACGTGCTCTGACAGGCAGTATGGACACAGATGTGGAGGAGAAACCCAGTTCCATGCTTGACATTTCCTTCCACACTTAGTGAAGGAGGGTTTGGACCAACTGCCTCTCCCAACAGGCCCAATATTGGACTGGCTGTGGGTTTTGCCCTTTGTGGTTTTAGTTACCCACCTTGGAAAATATTAGATGAAAAATTCCAGAAATAAATAATTCTTAAGTTTTTAAATTGCACATTGTTCTGAGTAGTGTGATGAAATCTCACGCCAAACCGCTCCATCCTGCTTGGGACATGAGTCATCTCTTTGTCCAGCATCTTCACACTGTAGACATCACCCACCTGTTAGTCACTTGGTAGCCATCTTGGTTACCAGATTGAAAAAATGTGGTATATATAGGGTTCGTTACTCTTCCAGGGTTGGGGCATTCACTGGGGGTTTTGGAACGTATCTTCCAAGGATAAAGGGGGAAATATGATTCTTTCATGGGTCATTGTCCATCCCCCACCCCCGCCATGCCCAGCCACTACATGTCCTCTGACTCAGGCCCTGTGAGGGTATCTAAAAGATTCTAGGCCTTAGGATCCAGAAAGGTGACCACTGCCCAACAGTCTTCGACCTCCAAACGTCTCCCGATGGTGACGTGGACATCCATTTTATCACGTTCAGTTCCGTAAGCCAGCCTCTCACTGGGTCTGTGGCTGTTCAGTTCCACTGGCTCCTGGCACAGAGCTCATCCTCGATCCCCTGAACCCTCAGGTCAGTTCCAGGATGCTGCAGGCCATCAGGTGGGCGTGCTGGAGCTGCCATACCTGGGAAGCGCAGGGAGTCTGTTCCTGGTGCTGCCCCGTGACAAAGACGTTCCGCTGGGCCATGTTGAGCCACACCTCACAGCCAGCATCATCCACTTCTGGACCACCAGCCTGCGGAGAACCAGGATGGATGTGTTCCTACCCAGGTGAGCAGTTGCACCCCCCCTTCTCGTCCTCTGCAGCATCAGTCACAAAGGCGTGGTTTTGCACACAGGTGATCTAACTCTCAGGTCGATCCCTAACAACTGTGCTGACTTGACTAATGTACCCTAGAGGTTAGGCCAAGAAAATCCGACCCCAGAGTTTAAGTCCATTTCAGAGTCTCTGCTGACTAGCTCACAGCTACAGACTGAAGTGAACTAACTTCCCAGGATCTTCTCAAGAAAAGATACTCTGCCTTCTCCACTTAGCCTCAGGTCACAGTCAGTTTTGGGGGCAGGAAAGGAAATGCATTGCAGTTCCTTTGTAGGAATGTGCCTCAAATCTCATCCCATCCTAGTAGTATACAACGGTCATTTTCCCAAGACCGAAGAGACAAGATGACTTAGGTAATCAAGCAAATACAGATAGAATTCTGATCAGAAACCAAATTAAGACATAAACATTTGAGGCTATAAGTCTCTGTGCAGAAGGTTCCCATTCTTTCTAAATGGAAGTAAACCCTCCTGTAAGAAAACCCAATAGGTACAAATACAAATTTTCAAAAAGTTGAACAATGGCACTTGATTTTGCTCTTCCAAAGCATCTCATTAATTTACAAAAGGATTCCACTTAGCACTTCCTGGAATGAGGAGCGTCTCTGGTACCTCTGAAATCAGAGTACATGTATAATCCATCTGCAGGCCAAATTAAGCAAGGTATCTTGTCCAGTGGGTCATGTTTAATGTGTGAATTCTACACCCTGTTGTCCACTGGCCTCCCGGCCCTCTCTGTATTGCCCAAGCTCTCAGCAGGCAAAGGCAAAGGTCTTGGCCGTGCTCTCTCAAGGAGTTAAAAATAAGTCTATGCACCAGAAGAAAGACACACAGAGAGATCCAGATAGTTAAGGGCCACGCTTCAAGAGTAAGACCTGGGATAGCCCTGGGCAGAAGGTAAACTTAACTCTAAAATAAAAGTCTATCTCTCAAAACTAAATATTTGAACACCAAATCAAAGCACAAAGACTGGATAGTTCAACAGATCCCTCTGCATGGAGCAGAAGCAGCACAACTCTTCCAGCTGTATTTGAGAGAAGATTAGTAAGAGAAGGAAGAAGAGCCACAGTCTTTTTGGATTCAGAAGACCGATGGCTGGCCTCATCCTGGAGCAGCTGATGTCAAGAAGAGGCCCCAGAGAAATGCCCAGTTCCCTCAAGAACTGTCCCTGATTCTACCGTTAGAAGTCTGAAACCCTCAAGCAACAATCCTGAAAAACACTGGAGGGCTAGGAGGAACAGAAAGGCAGGGATCATAGGAGCACAGCTCTTAGTTAACACCTGACCTCATTCTGATCATTTTTTAAAAATCTCCCTAAGACTATCAAGCGTATTCTTCAAAGAAGGATAGATGTTTTTAGGAAAATAAGGCTATTTCACAAGCAAAACTAATCCAAGTTTGCTTTTTTCTTAAGCTAGCTTTAAATCCTTCAAGGTGGGCGGGGGGAGAAGTAAAAACTGTTTGAGGTCTGGATTTAGGTACAAACTTTGGATCATGGTAGACACAAAGTCAGCTTTTGGGCAGGAATGTAACTCTGGTTCTCTCCAAACATTCATTCATCATTTGGTATAACCTGCTTTGTAGTCAGCATGTATGTCTCACTTAACACAGGAACAAAAAATTCTGCACACCGTGGGCAGCAATGCAAAACGTTGTGACTATGGATGTGCTTTCAGGTTAAACATCACCAATGGTGCATTAATAGACTCTGGGTGAATTATAATATTTAGCTTCCAAAGTAACACTTTATTTGTAAAGAAATAAAATACATAGGAATTGTTAGTCTTCCTTAGGGGCGCTTAGCATAGTAAAGGAATAATCAAGAAAAAAAAGATTGAATGTTAAGGACCATTGATAGCCATAATACAGAATGACCCACAAGAAGGACTAATCATGTCAAATATGTTTTTAATGAATAAAACACTTAGTTTTTAAGTCAGCATAGTGGAAAGCTGAGTATGAGCATTTTTGTTTTGTTTTGTTTTAAAAATCCACCAGATCTCGCATACCCAAAATGAGTTTGCCCTTCCTTCCGGGAGCTGCCAATCATCATGATGTATGATATATGCTTTTTTAAGGATGTTGTCTTTCTTTTTTAAAAAATTGAAGCCGGGCTCGGTGGCTCAGCCTATAATCCCGTGCTTTGGGAGGCTGAGGTGAGTGGATTGCCTGAGTCCGCGGGTTCAAGACCCGCCTGGGCAACTTGGCGAGACCTCATCTCTACAATAAATCAAAAAATTAGCCGGGCGTGGTAGTGCACGCCTGTAGTTCTAGCTGCTTGGAAGGCTGAGGTGGAAGGATCGCCAGAGCCCAGCAGGTCGAGACTGCAGTAGCCGGGAGCATGCCAGACTACACTCCAGTCTGGGCCACGGAGTGAGACTCCAACTAAAAAAAAATAAAATAAAATTGAGACATAACTTATATACCATAAAACTCACACTTTTAAAGTCTACAGTTCAGAGGTTTTTAGTATCTTCACAAAATTGTGCAGCCATCATTACCGAATCATTACAGAACATTTTCATCACCTAAAAAGACACCCTATAACCATTAGCAGTCACTCCCCATCCTCTCTGCACCAGGCTCTGGCAGCCACTGATCTTTCTATTCTGGACATTTAATATAAAGGAAATCATACAATATATGTGCCTTTTGTGTCTGGCTTCTTTGCATGTTTTTGAGATTCACAGTAGCATGAAGCAGTATTTCATGCCTTTTTATGACTGAGTGATAATCTATTTTGCAACTCTATATTTTACATTCTTAAGAACTCCAGACTGTTTTCCAAGTGACTACAGTATTTTATATTCCCACCAGCAATGTGTGTGGAGTGTAGTTTCTCCACATCCTTGTTAACACTTGTCATTGTCCATCTTTTCAATTATAGCCATCTTGATGTGAAGTGATATCTCATTGTGACCTTTATTTGCATGTCTCTAATGACTAATGATATAGAACATCTTTTCAAGTGCTTCTTGGCTATTTTAATGCCTTTTTGGGGGAAACGTCTACTTCAGATTTGTAAATTGGTTACCTTTTTATTGTTTAGTTATAATAGTTCTTTATTCTAGATTTTAGTCCCTCATCAGTTCCATAACTTGTAGACATGTTCACTCATTCTTTGAGTTTTATTTTCACTTTCCTGATGGTATCCTTTGAAGTCAAAAGTTTATCGTTTTGATGAAAATCAACCTATTTTTCCCTTTGTTTCTTGTGCTTTTGATGTCATATTATATTGAATAGAAACCATTGCCTAACAAAGGTCACAAAGATCTATGTCAAAAAATCAGTTTTATAGTTTTTCTAAGAGTTTTATAGGTTTAGCTCTTATTTTTAGGTCATTAATCCATTTTGAATTAATTAGTGTATATGGTGTGAGGTACAGCTCCAACTTCATTCTTTTGCATGTGTCTATCTATTTGTCCCAATACCATTTGTTAAAAAGCCTCTTCTGGCCAGGCTTGGTGGCTCAGCCTGTAATCCCAGTGCTTTGGGAGGCCGAGGTAAGTGGATTGCCTGAGCCTGCGGGTTTGAGACCTGCCCGGGCAACTTGGCGAGACATCATCTTTACAATAAATCAAAAATTAGCCAGGCATGGTAGGTAGCATACGCCTGTAGTTCCAGCTACTTGGAAGTCTGAGATGGAAGGATCCCCGGAGCCCAGCAGGTCGAGGCTGTGGTGGCCAGAAGCGTGCCACTGCACTCCAGTCTGGGCAAAGGAGTGAGACTCCATCTCAAATAACAAAAAGCCTCTTCTTTCTTTCATTAAATTTTCCTGGTATCCTTGTCAAAATCGATTGCCCATAAATGTGTGAATTTATTTCCGGGCTTTCAATTTTATTCTACAGGCATAAATATCTATCTTTTTTGTTTTATTTTTTGTTTTTAAATATTTTTCTTTCTCAAACTTTGTAGTGATGAGGTCTTGCTGTGTTGCCCAGGTTGTTCTCAAACTTCTGAGTTCAAATGATCTTTCTGCCTCAGCCTCCCAAAGTGCTAGGATTATAGGCATGAGCCACCACATCTAGCCAAATGTCTTTTGCCAGTAGCATAAAGTCTTGATAACTATAACTTTACAGTGAGTCTAGATATCAGAAAGTGTGAGTCCTTCAACTTTGTTCTTTTTCATGATTGTTTTAGCTACTGTGGGCACCTTGCATTTTCATCAAATTGAGAAAGTTGCCTTCTATGCCAAGTTTGTTGTATATATGATGTTTGTTTTTAATCACGAAGGATGTTAGATTTTGTTAAATGCTTTTTCTGTATCTATTGAGATGGTCATGTGGATTTTGTGTCTTTTATTCTATTAATATGGTGTTTTATGTTAACTGATTTTCATTTGTTGAACACACCTTGCATTCCTGGGATAAATCTCACTTGGTCATGTTATGATTTATATGGTGCTGGATTCATCTGGTTTTGTGGAAGATTTTGAATCTATATTCATAAGGGATATTGGTTTGTAGTTTTCTTTTCTTATGATAACCTTGTCTGGTTTTGGTAAAGGGTACTAAAACTTTTTTTTTTCTTTTTTAACTCAAGCTGTTTTTGTACTATTTCTGGATCTGCCTTCATAGTCATACAAGATAATCACTCTAATCTTTTATAGTCACACCTCACTTTTACTGCTGTTTTTAGTTTACTAAAAATGATATAACCCAGTTTTATCACCCACCATAATCACTATGCTTGGTTTGAAACAGCGGTTAACTCTTTTCTCAATATAATTGAGAAATGACAATAAAATCCCAATGCTCACAATAAGTGCATGGACTGTGCTGGAGATAGTTCTGAGGACTTAACAGAGATATTTCATTTAATTTTCACAATCCTATTACCCTGCTGTTATGTTCATTTCACAAATGAGGACACTGAGGCAAAGGTAAAGTAACTTACCCCAGTGGTAAAGTAACTGGTTTCTCAGTAAGAGGCTGAGCCAGGATTCAAACGCAGGTGCTGGATTCTCAAGTTCATCCTCTGAACCACTATGTTTCAGCATTTAGAGGTTTCAGAAAAGATGTGTTTTCAGTACTTAAGAAGATTTCCTAAGGGATGGTCCAAACATTTTTGGAGAAATGTCAGCATACTTGGAGAAAGCATATTTCTTTTTTGGAAACTATTTGGAAGACTCAAAACATACCTTTATTAAAAAGTCTGATACTTTTGTTTAAAATATTAGTCACATTATCTTGTATAGCAATGAAGACCTTTGATATTAAATGGTCTTGTCCAGTATTTTTACTCTCCTGCAAGTTCTGCATTACTTATAGAAAAAGACTACCTAAATTCCATTTTGAACTTTTTTTATTTTCAAAGAAAAATAATATCAGCAGCCCTTGTAAAAGGCCCTCCTACAGTAACTTTTTAAATGCCATGCCTTTGGGGAAATATTATAAAATTGGTGTGCTCTTTGTGTTCACAGGGCTTACTAGGAAAACCAAGGCTTTAAGTTACATTCCTTTCCTGCTGTGTGTCAAGGGTACACAGTACACACAGCAAACATGAAATAGATCTGATCCAATATAAACACACTATCACATGAGACACTTATTATTTTCTGCACCTACTGTGGGTGAGATGCCACATGAGATGGGAGGTAGCAAAGCACAGGTGATCAGAGCCTGGGCTCTGCCGCACACAGGCTGGATTTGAGTGGTGTTCCATCATGGACTCTTTACGTCATCTTGGGCAAGTGTCTTAAACTCTTTAAGTCTCAATTTTCCCATCTGTAAAATGAAGATAATAATGACATAGTTATATGAAGATGAAATGAGATAATTCACATAAGGTTTTTTATCATGGCACCTAGCACAATGTAAGCACTCATTCAGTAGGGAAGCTGGGTGTGGTGGCATGTGCCTGTAGTCTCAGCTAGTTGGAAGGCTGAGGCAGGAGGTATCACCTGAGCTCAGGAGGCTGAGTCCAGTCAGGGTTAAGACCCTAGCTTAAAAAATAAGTGTTTAAAAAATGGATTGGGATAGTCACTCTTTGGGGTAGTTTACAACATCATAAATGACAGTGTCAGGAAACAGAATGTTTTATACATCATAAAGGTAGAACAATTTTTTATTTTTGAGTCAGAGTCTCCCTGTCACCCAGGCTGGAGTGCAAGTGCAGTGGCATGCTCACAGCCACTGCAGCCTCAACCTGCTGGGCTCAGGTGATCCTCCTGCCTCAGCCTTCCAAGCAGCTGGAACTACAGGCATGCCACCATAGCTGGCTAATTTTTTTGATTTCTTGTAGAGATGAGGTCTCACCAAGTTGCCCAGACTGGTCTCTAACCCCTGGACTCAGGCAATCCTCTTGCCTCTGCCTCCAAAAGTGCTGGAATTACAGGTGTGAGTCACCACGTATGGCTAGAACAAATTGTTAATGGGGTTTTAAGAAGCAAAGTTCACAAAATGGCCAGAGAAAAGAAAAGGGATTAATAAGTAAATAATGGATAATAATTAAAAGGCAACCAAGGGAAATAGGGAAGACTTGGAATAGACAAAGGTACAGAAGTGAGCAAGAGCCCAGTGTAGTCAGATTAGTCAGGGTTTACAGGAAAGAGCCATGGAAGATAAAGCAGGAAATCAATATGGTGGGCCTTGACTCCCAAGGTAGGGAATTTGAACTTCATGTGGTGTGTATGAAAGTATGTTAAGTGAGAATTTTGATGAAAGTTGATGATTTGTTTTTGCTTTTTAGATTCAAGATCCAAAATCAATTCAACTTAAAAAGCATTTTAAACTCTTGGGGCGTCACTGATCTTTTTGATCCACTGAAAGCTAACTTGAAAGGAATTTCAGGTAACAACAGTTCTTCCAGACTTTTCTGTATGGTGTTTGGGGCTGGTTTTTCACACTTTGGTTAAGGGGTTCTCATTGTTTCCAAGAGCCTACAGTGGTAAACCATCAGAGTCACCATTATGTAAAAGAAAAAAGACCATGCTTTGGTTTATATGAGAATGCGTTGCTTCTGATGACAATCAAATGGTTAGACCTTGTGGGGAAGGAACACTTCTCAAGATCTCTAGTCGTGGTTTTTAGAGACAACCTTCACAATGGGGTCAGATAGCCACAGGACACAGTAAACTCATCCTCCCTCCACTTGTCACGCCTAGGAATGCACCTGAGACATGCACAGCAAGAGGCTCTTCATTCTGACCTCCTGCTACCCTGCATGCCTGTCACCTTTGGTTTCTACCTCCTCTCCCTCCCTCCTTCCCAAATCACCTCTGTCCTCTTCTAATAAGCTAGGCTTGGAAATTTCTCTTGCCTATCCAATTTTCTTTCTTCAATTTACCCATGTTCTTATTACCTTATCTTGAAATGTTCTCCTTTCCAGAGTTTATATTAAGTTTCTTTGCACATAGTTAACATGCTACTACTAATTAATAGGAGTTATGTTTGCCTGTGATCTGATAGGGAATTTATATCAAATTAAAAAAAGGGAATGGAATGCCAGGATCTATGTTTCAGAATCCTCTCAGTACACCATTGGCTAAACTATTGCCAACTCTAAAGCTCAGGTTTGTTTCTACTCTAGTCAATTATTCGTACAAAGACGATACTGGAGCCAGGCTCGGTGGCTCAGCCTGTAATCCCGCGCCTTTGGGAGGCTGAGGTGAGTGCCTGAGCCTGCGGGTTCGAGACCCACCTGGGCAGCGAGACCTCATCTCTACAATAAATTAAAAAATCAGCCGGGCATGGTAGACATGCCTGTAATTCCGGCTACTCGGAAGGCTGAGGCGGAAGGATCGCCGGAGCCCAGCAGGCAAGGCTGCAGTGACCGGGAGCGGCCACTGCACTCCAGTTTGGGTGACAGAGTGAGACTCCGACGCAAAAAAACAAAACAAAACAAAGATGATACTGTAGCTAGTATTTTCACTGGCCTTGACAGTTCCCTAATCTGATGAGTTTGAAAATCACTATTTTGAATGTTAGAACATTATAATACAGAATTTTCTAAAGCTGTGCTCAGAATTTTTCACTTATTTTTTGTTGGAGTCTCACTCTGTCACCCAGACTGGAGTGTAGTTGCCGCTCCCAGTCACCAGTCACTGCAGCCTCGACCTGCTTGGCTCTGGCGATCCTTCCACCTCAGCCTTCCAAGTAGCTGGAACTACAGGCGCGCACTACCACATCCGGCTAATTTTTTGATTTATTGTAGAGATGAGGTCTCGCCAAGTTGACCAGGCAGGTCTCAAACCTGTGGGCTCAGGCAATTCACTCACCTCAGCCTCCCAAAACGCTGGGATTACAGGCTGAGCCACCAAGCCCGGCTAGAATTTTCTACCTTAATCAATCACAGGGGGAAAAAAAAAGAGATTTTGATCCAAGAGAAGTCTTGGTTTGGGCTTTCGAAGTGACTAGATTAGCTAACAGAGTTACTTATCAAATAAAACACAGAAGGACCTAGAGTGTTCAAAATTCATCAGCAGCCAGGCTGTGGCTCAGTCTATAATCCTAGCACTTTGGGAGGCCGAGGTGAGTGGATTGCCTGAGCCCGTGTGTTTGAGACCAGCCCGGGCAACTTGACAAGATCTCATCTCTACAATAAATCAAAAATTAGCCGGGCAAGGTAGCACGTGCCTGTTGTAGTTCCAGCTATTTGGAAGGCTGAGGTAGAAGGAACCCAGCAGGTCGATGCTGGGATGGCCGTGAGCATGCCTCTGCACTCCAGCCTGGGCAACGGAGTGAGACTCCGACTCAAAAAAAAAAAAAAAAAAATTCACCAGCTCCATATTCATTGCCTAAACATGCAAAGAGATAAGCAAAGCAATAGTCAATTTGGCCATAGTGCTCACGACAATGCTTGGTATACAGTTGGATAACCAATAAATATGTTGGCTGGGTGAGTAACTCAATAAGAAACTTTTCCTACTGGTACAGACAATCTGATACTGCAGGGAAAGGCAGAGTACAGAAGTGAAAATATCAGAAGGCAAGGAACGGGCGCAGATAAAGAACTTAAGCCCAGAAGTTCTTTAATAATGTATGCCCTCCAATCACAGTGTCTTCTTGGGACTCCAGGGCTCAGCTATGACACCCCTGTTGTTGTTGATGGCAATTCTATTCTTTTGATCATCCTAGTTCAAATCCTTAGGGCGTTCTTGACCTTTTCTTCCATACCACTATATTAAACTCATCACCACAATGGCTCACTGATGGTTTATTCATAACCCTTAAATCTCTTGCCCTTTATGTTCTAGAAGTACATACTAAAAGGCCATCAGACTAAAATGCCCTGTGTCCTCAAACAGGACCATCTTAACCCATCGTGCAGCCTCCTATTGGTAAAGGCTGCCAGGGTCCATAAGCTCCACTGATAAGATCCAATAAGTAACCTCGTTTTAGAAGTACCTTTGTTGATACCTAATCTTTTTTTTTTTTCCTGATGCAATTCAAGTTTGTTTATATTTGTTTAAACCAGAAATACAGGCTCATAGACCTGTCTTATTTAATAATTATCAAGCAGCTAGGTGCCAAGTATGAAGCTTGCATTTGTGTTTCCTGTTGACAAAACACACCGCCTCACATCCTCCCATAGAATTTTGTTCCTCTAAAACAGGGGTCAGCAAACAATGGCCCACCATCTGCTTTTATAAACATTTTATTAAAACACAGCCACTCCTATTTGTTCACAAATCACCTATGGCTGTTTTCCTGCTACAACAGCAGGATTGAGGAGTTGGGTCAGACCCCATACTGCCTGCAGTGACTACAGTCTTTAATATCGGGCCCTTTACAGAAAAGGTAGGCCAACTCAGTTATTCCTTCCCAATGCCCTACTTTAAACATAATCAAGAGACTAATCATTTCTGTGCCCAAATGGGCTTCTGATTTTAGAGACAGGGCCATCAAATCTCTCCAAGAAATCGTTTCCTCATCACTAAAATGAGAGTAGCCACTACCCACTTCACATCTTAACTGTAAAAATAAAATAATTTAACGTTCAGCATAGCACCAGCAGAGAGACCTTGCCAGAGCGTGAGTGATCAGAAGAAGCTGGCCTCCCTTCCCCCAATTAACAAGGGGTTACCAAGTAGTTTTGTGCTATTGTTGGAAGCCCAACAACCAAAGGGAACATTTGGCCTTTTGGTTCCAAAGCCCAGAATCATCTTACTCAAGTTCTCCTTCCCCATTCAAAAGTCACTTATTTCTTCCTTGTTGGCTGAAGCCAAAACAAAAATCCCTTTTTGTTACCTGAATAACTCACTCAATATAACTTCAAGGCCCAACTGAACCCAGGGTGAAATCCTCTCGACTCCTTGACACCAGGTGTTCTGAAGCTTTTAAGAGTAATTAGTTTCACTGACATGACGATACCAGCTCCTCTGGAGTAACCCCACTTCCTTTAGGACCAGAAGAATTTGATAGAATACCATGCCCTCTAAAACAGGAAATACTTCTTGTACACAAGCTTCAAAGTCTGAGGAGACTATCTTGTTCTTGGTTTTTATGAGTGGTTTGTTTCCAGTACAAGTTATGAGTGGTTTGTTTCCGGTACAAGTTCTCTGCTACAATGACATAAATGAGCAAACCTCCCAGAGTTGTTTGGTTGAGTGTGTAAGTTCACTGATGCCACACCAGATGTCTGGTCAGAGCAGCAATAGGAAGGGGTGAGAAGAGGGCTAGAGGAAAGGAATGGAGATAACAGCTAACCATGGCCTAGCTTCAGGAGCCATCTCAGATGCTTCTAGCACTTTCTCTATATCCTGGGCTTGGTGCTATGTCACTCACACACACACAAATCCTCCATCTTTTAACAACCAAGTGACAAGGAGAAAGCTACACTAGAAGAAATTTCTGGCAATAGCTTTAAGCCATGAACTCTGCCAATAGTAAATAAACATAACTGGGAAGACAAAAGAAATAGCAAGTATGTTTATCCTGTTTTGTAAGAAGCTGAGGATCAAATGTCAGGATGTTGATTTACATTTTGCAAATCTTGCATTTGCACATCATGTTATGAAGACTCAAATCTTTTGAGCATGACCAACGAACAACACACAAAGAATGATGTTCTCCATGATTAAAGGGAAAAGAGGCACTGAGACAACCATTTGGCTGAGACTTGCAGAAGACCCATTCTATGCTATGCGCCTATGGGTCTACAAACAGAAATCATTTCCTTCCAAGTGAAATCAGGTTAAAGAACATTAATGCAGCTTCCTTTATGGGGAAAAAAAACATGTAGACTGTGAAGGGTGTCTATTATTAATTCACCCACTTACTAAACACATAAATGTACCAAGTATTACTATGCAAGTCGGACAAAGAAAAACGAAGGGAAAAGAGGCACTGAGACAACCATTTGGCTGGGACTTGCAGAAGACCCATTGTTCTCAAGATTATTTCTAGGTGATAATTATAAAAAAGGGAACTTCTTAAAGTTTCTGCCTTCTGGGAGATAATGATCTAAAAGGAAAGGTAAACACCTGTAGAAGATATAATGGAAGAAGAGTGGAAAGTATGCCGGGAGGGAGGAGGTGAAGAATGTTGCCCCCTTGCTTTGTATATTGAATGGAATGTAGGAACAAAGGGGTTTGTGGTGGGCTACAGTTTCCAAAAGTATGTTCCCCAGAACGGTAATCAAGTAAATGTGGGGACAGGGGATGGTGTGGGTGGCCCCATGGTAAAATGCTGTGTACTGTTATCCTCCTATAGAGGTTCACTACTAACTTTACCAAACTAGCAGCTCTAAGAAGTTCCCTTTTTATAATTATCGCCTAGAAACGTATCGCCTAGAAACAATCTTGAGAACAAAGTTTAGGAAAGCAGATGTGTGCACCTCCATGCACTAAGCTGCCAATACTTCAGGGGAGGAGAAAAAGTCTAGGAGAATCCCTTTGTGCTTGACTTCTTCTAGAATGCTTTCATTAGTGGCATATTTTTAGCTACTTAACAAGGTAAGCAAATAGAAATCTGTAATTCAAGATCAAGCAAGAGGAACACAAACCCACACAATGACTCCCGAATTCTCATTTTTATCACCTTTGTTGGTCTTTTGAAAGTCAGTCTACCAGAGATAAAATTTAAGAGATGCCAATGCTGAATGACAGGCCACGGGTCTTGGCTCATGGCTGTGCAAACATACAAATGTCATATACTGGACCACTCCTGTAGCCTGGTGGAGAAAACTGTTTAAATGAAATTCTTCAGTTGCAGTTTCAAAATATTAAAGACTCGTCCATCCAGTTGGTCCCATTTCTCACACTGTGCCAAGGTGCCTAGACTAATAATACACACACACACTAACTGTATTTTAGCTAATAAGGGGTTTCATAGTGAACCTCTGCTTATATCATCAACATTCATTTAAAATGTTTAGACACCATTCTAAGTAGTAACAAAGTTACAGATGAGCTAAAACTCCCTCCTGTCAAAGAACCATTCTTTATCCTTATTCATAAAGTTCTCTTTGTAATTTTGGCACTGCATTTCAGTTTGTTCAACATGGAACTAACAATTAAGAGGAACTAATAGAGAAATGTTTATTTTCTCAAAGATCCTACAGAAAAAGACCGACTGCTAAAATAAATCAGATTCTGGACTGGTTTTAGGTCAAGTGAGGCCAGTGAATGTTTCTATTGATTTTTTTCTTCCTCTGTCCCTTGCCCGTCCCCTTCACTGGCACTGGAAACTCTTCCAGTGAATACAGTCAACTCACAGTAGCCTGTGTATAATTTATTTACAAGATGGATGAAATGCTGCATATTCTATATTCTGGGCTAGTTTAAATTTCATGACATTCATGGGCCATCTCCTTATATGTACACGACAAATGCAAGCCAATTTAAATATTAGTTTAAGACGAAACAAAGAAAGCTCCCTCACAATACACACACATCAAAATGATTAATACTCATGCCACAGATCCCTTCTAGTAGCATGCCGGAGTTGACTAGAACACACTTTCTGAAGGTGGTAGTGTTTGAGTGGGGGGGGGGGTGGAAGTGGGCTGAAAGTCAGAAAATCTGCATATTCTCAACTCTGCTTCTTACGAGGCATGTGATCTCAGACAACATAACCACTCACTCCAAAATCAAAGGATTGGACTCAATGATTTCTAGTTTTCTCTGCTTCTAAGATTGTCTTTCATTCTTTGTGTCATCAAGTTTCACTTCATCTTTGGAGAGTTATTTAAAAAATGGTTCATGGTTAAATTACAAAAATCTGTCAGTTTCCTCTAAGTTATCACTCACAGTCCCGTTTGCTGAGCTTATCTTTGACACTGTTGGCACACAGAACAATTATTCTAACCTCTCATTTGCTTTGCAGATTCTAGTCCATGAGGCAAGTTAATTGCATAACTGATATGCTTAAGTGTACAGAATGCAGTCATGCAACATTAACACATTCTTAATACAATGAAATGTGCCTCATTACAAAGTCCGTAATACAAACCTGTGACTTTTTCATTAAAAGTGGCTTTTAAAATACTGTCCAAGGCATTCAAGGGAAATCATCTCAGAAACTTGCTGAAAATGATTCCTAGTTTACAGAATCTGCACGGTAACACACACCCTATCAATTCTTATGACCACTGAAGTTTTAGAAATATTGGTGAAAGGAGGGATTGTGATATTAACAAGAAATCATTTTTGATAACCATTAGAACAAGTAGGGGGCAGTGCTCTGAATTTTACTTTGGGAGAGATTACCACATAAATTTAACAAACTAAGGTTTCAAAAGTTGCAAAAGTTGAACTTTAAGAACTTTCCAAATAATCTCTCCCTAGCTACACAGTAAGCAGCATTGGATACCGTAAATTTTGAAAGTATATTGCTTAAGACTGTCCTCGAATCCTTACGCTGAATGCATTGGAAAGGATAAATAAGCAATTCCCATTTTTATCATTTCGGGCACTTAGGACAAGATGGCTTTTATGTTTCTGAAGCAATCCACAAGGCTAAGATCGAGGTTCTAGAGGAAGGTACCAAGGCATCTGCAGCTACAGGTATGTTCCTAAAAATATATTCATAAAGGAAGGTAAATGATACCCAGCCACACTGCTTGCCTGTATTGACCTCTACTAAATTTACCTAGTCGTCTTCATACTTCTAAATCTTTCCATTTAAAACTCCCAAGTCCAGATGTGGTATTTTTTTTTTTTTTTTAAAAGGAATGCTAACAAAGCAAAAAGTTCTTTCAAAAATGACAGGAGAAAGAGATGTTCATTTTGAAAAGGATTTGTATCACTATCCCATAAAAAGGAATAGAGTCATTCTGAAAATTACCTTCAATGAGGAATTTATTCCATGGAATATGTTGAAAATAGGACACAGGTTTAGCTAAGTGGTATTCTTTTAATTTTCCCATTTGCACCCCCATCACAACAGTAAACAGTGAAATGTCATTAGGATGCTTTGATTTCTTAAAAAATGATGGGATATACCTGACTTCATATCCAATTTTAATAGTTTTATTTAAAAGTAGAAAATGCAATGGGATTCTTTATTTTTCCCGCAGCTCTGCTGTTACTGAAAAGGTCGCGGATTCCTATTTTTAAAGCAGATCGGCCATTCATCTTTTTCCTGAGAGAACCCAACACAGGTATTACAGTATTTTTTGACAGGATTCAGATAAATTAAATATTTATCAGTGTCTCTCTGGCAACAAGGGCTCATTTGTCCACTACAGCCTAAAACAAGCATTCCTTCTAGCTGTTTCTATGGTGCCTCAGAAGCCTCCCAAGTTGCTGTGTCTTGTATCCTGAGAAAGGGGACTATTTCATAAGTACAAAGGAAGCTATTATCCCCCATGCTTTCTGCCTTCTCATTCTCTCAGCTCAATTATAGTTGAGGTCGATTTTTAAAAATTCAGATTTCTACTTCTTGAAAGACTTGGAAAAATCATGAAAGTAAAATAAATTCTAAATCTTGCTTTTTTCCCCGCTGTCCTCCACCTTTCTTGTCATTTTAGGAAATCACTAGAGTATAACAGAGTGACTCTAGTATTCTAGTGACTCTAGCATTCTAGTGACCACCTCTAGATTTCTATACTGTTTTCTGTTTATCTTTATCAAAAATCAAATGCTTGCCCTAGTACTTTTAAGTCCCACTACACAACCTTATCTTAACCCAAAGATGACCTGGTACAGAAATGCTGTAGTATGTCAGGACGACAGGCAGATGTCCTTAAGCTCCAACAACATTGAACAATCCCTTAAATTATTTTTCTTAATGTTTCCTCCTCCCCCTCTGACAATTACTCATCAGCCTAGGAAGGAAAAGAGATTCTCAGTAAAGAGTTGTTGGCAAGCCTAAACGCTGTATTAAAAAGAAATAGGATGGAACAAGACTAATAAAACCAAGCAAAAGTGGATCTACTTTAACTAAACATCAGGTATTACTTTTATTTATGAAGAGAAAAAATGTCAAAAGTTAGAATAATGGAAATTACGCATAGTTTTACACAAATTGTTAAGGAAAAACTGTCAACATCATTTTATCTGAGAATCATTTGCATACTGCTATAACTTGCGCTAGAAATCAAAGGAACATTTTTGTGACAAAATAATATCATTCACTAGGAAATTATCTATTTTGGGATTATTTGGGGAGAAAAAGTCCATCAACAGAATTTATCCTCCTCATATTTCACCACGATTATCCCAACCCATATTGATTAGATGAAAATGTCATCACTCAGAACAGGCAGCAGAAGCCTCTCTTAGAAAGGATACATGTCAAAAAATGAAAAGTGAAAAAAAGGACAGGTTCTACTCCCTCAAAAAACAAAAGAGACAGGACAAAGTTTAAACAGAAAGGTCACTGTCAAAAGTTGATAGCCAATAAAGGTTGATGACAGTTAAAATAAGAGAGATTCTGATTTTGGAATTCAACTGGATAAAAATCATGTAAAGTCCTTGAATTAGGAAAAGACACACCACTGTTCCAATGATAGTTTTCATAATTGCCTTAGTAATCAGCATGAACAGCAAGGGTAGTCCCAAAACCAGTTCCACAATCTGACACAAATCTAAGTACAGTCCTAATGAATTTATGTACTTCAATCTGGGAGGCTCTTGCCCATGTCACACAAGGCAAAGCGGCTGCTCTCTGGGGATGGCTATCCAAGAGATTGGAAATGAGTCTCAGCCTTCACTCTCCAAACTGACAAACCTTACTGATAACAGCAACTAATAAATCAATCGACAAATGGGACACGTGGGGGAACACTAAGAAAAGCCATTTGAAGTCCTCAAAATTAAACTTTCCAAATATCATTTGTCCAGCCTAAAGTCATTCCATGACCTAAAGGGCCTAAAAGACATAATATCCCCCATTATGTTTAAAGAGAAATTTAAACATATTCCCCTTCCTCTTTGCTGACAAGAATTCTACAATAAGTATTTCACTAACTAATATTCCCATAGTTGTTTAACATGTAAAAACCTTGAGGGAGATAGATATTCTGCTTTAGTTTCAATGGCTTCAAACGTCCTAACTAGGCTTTGGGATGAGGGTGTCAAGAGTGGAGTGGCATAGAGATAAAGGACAGAAAGCGGAGACGGAACAGACCGTAACTTCCCAACTCCCTCCAGGGTTCATTCTAGAAAATGTATTAAAGATCAAGCGTCTAAAGGATTATTAACTCATGAGCAACCTGTGAAATGGAAATAACTTTCTGATAAGGAAACCTGTTAAATATTGGAACAATTTAATCTCTCTCCTAAATACTCCTGTTAGGCATGAATTTTTACCTGAATGACTTCTAATCCCTCCTATTAATCTCAGAATCTATATAGTTTAAGACCAGACAATGTATTCTGGATTTTGTGTAACTCTTGTTGAATTTAGCAATGTGACTACAGGCAATTACCTTAACAATTCCATCTATTACATAATATCCTGTTTAACTTAAAGGTATTTTTGTAAAGATAAACGAGAATTAAAGAATTTCAAGAACTGCATATGAAAACACTATATAATGTTGCATTACATTATTTTTCTTGACAGGATTTGTCTTCAGTATTGGTAGAGTTTCAAATCCCCTCGACTAAATGAGATCTCAAGCACGTTCACCATTATCAATATTTTTCTTCATAAAAAGTTATAATTTTGTTTTGCCATACCCTTGAAATTTAAAAAATGTTCTGATAAAGTGTATAAAGATAAGGGTATGTAATTTTCAATATTATAAACCTAAAAATACCTCGATTTCATTATAATTTTATACATTTATTTTGCCCTTTCTTTATGCAAATCTATTCTAACCTCTTTTCTACTGTTTACTCCCCAACTACTAAAAGGCACAGCAGTGATCTATGAATAGTATGTGTGTCAGGCCATAGAATCGCCTCCTCAGCTAGCACACACTAGGCCATGTTGTACTGAGGGTGGACAATGAACAGTGTTGGTTTTCCTTATCCTGTGTAACTCTAGGGGGATGCAAAATGAGCAAAGTCATCTTAAATGTTTCCTTTCCATTTAGCTACTAAATAAAATTGAGAGTTTAAGTGTGAGAACAGCTGAGCAAAACAAAGAGATCCTCCTTGGAGCCCCAATTTGTTGTGGGCTTTTGTAAGCAAAGCATCAAGCTGCTAAGGTAGACATTTCAGGATATGTAGTGCACCCCAAACTTACCACTCCCTAACTAACAGCTTCAACTTCGTGCCAGCCACAATCCTAGTGAGAAAGGAAAAGGAATAGAAGGGAAATGAGGAAACCAATAATGTCCAAAGTTGTCTGCTTTTGAAACAGCTTGTAAGTGTCTGCCTATCTGCCACAGACATAGGCATTCCTATTATCTAGGCAGAAATGGGAGTATGTTGGCATGGCCAACAAAAAACTATAAACATATAGGAAAAAGACAATGCAGATTATGTTAACATGTAATTACAGTTAGGTTTAACAAATATGAACTTCAAGTGGTGTATTTTTCCAATGCTAAAAAAGCAAGGCCTTTAAAATTCCATTATCTCAGAATGTTTTTAAATGATTACCTTAAATGTGATTATTTCCTAAACCACACAAGAGTAAAATAGAGCATTTATTGATGGAATAACAAAAGTGCTTTTCTTAAATATTCTTCAAAATACATTTGTACAACTTACAATAATATATCCAAAATAACTGTATATACAAAACATTACCTAGTTTTAATGTATGTGCTTTTTTCCCCAAAAATTACAAAGTAACTTCTTTTTAATTTTTTTTTTGGCAAAGTTCAACCTTAACAGAGGTGACAATTTTAAAGGTTGGTTTAAGAAAATAGAACCTGAGGGAAATTGACACGCAAGAGTCAATGACAAGCAAGAGATCTGGAGGAATATTTTTAGTTTGTTAAATAAAAATGTTTTTTAGAGTGATACTTTTCACATTACAAAAATAAACCAAAATGAAGAAAAGGTCACTGTAAAATGATGGAAAAAGGATCTGTGGACTTGCTTTTAGTATTTCAAATAGCCAACAATGCATGTCAAAAAATGAATGCAAGATCACAACAGTCTTGTATTTACTTTGTATTTGGAGAAGACAGTGAAATAAGTGGCCACATTCTATTTTCCTTTAATTGCTATTAATATGATTGATCTGATTGGCTCTTCGATGAATTTCATCCAAGAAGTTCTCCAGCTGTTCTATTAGCATTCGTTTTTTAAACCTATATAAAAAAAATAAATAATAGCACTCTCAATTACTTCATAATGAATAGTATACAACAGTATAATTTTTTTTAAAAAGTGAGAAAAATTGCTTTGGGAAGATTTTTCAAAGTGAAATGAAAATGGAAAAATAACAATTTATAACATAAAATAAGCTGGAAGATTAGCAAATTACTGTACCAATACAGTATTATAATTTGAAAACATTCTAGTTCTAAGCAATGGAAAAGAGTTTGTTCTGCAACCAATGAAAAAAGGAAAAATAAATAAATAAAACTACTATATGTAAGGGTTACAGATATTCTAACTTGGAATCCCAAAACAATTACTTCAATTACTTCTCATGCTTTTTGAAAGTTAAATGTTGAAAGGAACGTGAACAAAGTATGAATATAATCATCTACAAAATAGAAGAAGAATTGAAAACTGGACACTGGCCGGGCTCAGTGGCTCAGCCTGTAATCCCAGTACTCTGGGAGGCCGAGGCGAGTGGATTGCCTGAGACCGCGGGTTCAAGACCTGCCCGGGCAACTTGGCGAGACCTCGCCTCTACAGTAAATCAAAAATTAGCCAGGCGTGGTAGCGTGCGCCTGTAGTTCTGGCTACTTGGAAGGCTGAGGCGGAAGGATCCCCGGAGCCCAGCAAGTTGAGGCTGTGGTGGCCGGGAGCATGCCACTGCCCTCCAGCCTGGGTGACAGAGTGAGACTCCCACTCAAAAAAAAAAAGGAAAAGAAAAGAAAACTGGGCAGTAGCATTTAAAAACATGGTATCTGATTATAATTTTAAAGTTAGCAAGTCAAATATAATTAGACATGTAATACAAGACAGAACAAGCAGCAATTTTAAAATATTTTTCAGTAATAAATATAAGTAGACAAATTGCATTCATCTACATAAACGTTAGTATTGTCGATACTTTTTTGGATATCTCAAACACTACATTCTACTCCTACTTCCTCTCTACTTGTAAGCTAATATGACTAGCCACCATGATGTTACGTGACTCTCTGAAAGGTACAGAAGTGGAGTGCAGGTATCAGGAATGTACCCAAATACATAATGAGGCTTGAGCTGACAGGATATAACCATAAATAACAGAATAAATTAAATGCTCAAAATTACATGAAAAGTATCACCTTATCTTGATCTTTCAAAGTGGCCTATGCTCTGGCCACTCCAAAAAAAAAATTAACCGCTTTATTTAAAACCTTTACATGTACCATGGAAGGGACAAGGGGACTGACTAAAGGGTGGGTATGTTTACAAGGGAACACCCCCAAAAAAACTCTGAAATTATATTTTGGAAGGCATGCCCCTTGTAGTATAGGCTTTTCCCCACTAGGTAAGTGCTCTAGGAACCCATTGGCATTAGTGTACCACTTAGCATTGTTGTGAGAGGCTGC